ATGATGAGGCCAAATTGGGAGGTGCAGGTAAGCCTCAGTGAGATCAATGGAAGGGAGGAGGTCGCCCTCCTGAACTCTCTCTAAAATAGAATGCAGAGTCTGCATTTTAAATCACCTGTATTTTACAAATTGGTTGAGAAATTTTAGATCAAGTATGGCTCGCCATCCTCCTGAGGCTTTGGGAACAATGAAAAGGCAAGAGTAAAGTCCCCGTCCCCGTTGAGACGGGGGAACAGGTTGAATAGCCCTGATTTCAAGAAGGTGCTGAATGGCCTGATTCATGAGGGCTTGCCTGGAAATGTCCCGAGAGACAGGACAAATTAAAAAAAATGGGGGGGGGGTGGCGTTAAGAAGTCCAATTGTAATCCTGACCTAATAGTGCTGAGCACCCAGGTGTCCATCATTGACTCCTCCCATTTGGAGGCAAAGAAGGCTAGGCGACCTCCGATGGATGGGGAGAACAAGGGATTACTTAGAGCGATGGAAGGAACAACTCCCTTCCCCCTGAAAGGGCTGTTTACCAGTAGAAGGTTGTTGCCTGCCAGATGCTTCCTCCCGTTGGTCTTGGTGTTGGGAGTACAGCCTGTGAGAGTGGGGGAAGCGAGATGAGGTCTCTGCTCAGAAGGCAGGAGAGCGATAAGGAGCAGGGCGATAGTCAGCTTTCTTCCCAGAGGAAGAGAGAATTTTACATTTATCTCTGGTTTCGATGAGATAAGGTTCCAGAGCATCGCCAAAAAGCTTATCGCCTGCAAAAGGAACTGAAGCCAGCTTCCATTTTTGGTGTGACTCCACCTGCCAATTTCAGAGCCATAAAAGTCTTCTTGCTGCTACAGTAGATGCCATGGCCTTGGATGCAAATTTGGCAGAATTGAGAGTGGCATCCGCAGTGAATTCCGCCGCTGCAATAATCTTATTAAGATCTTGGTGAGACCAAAGGTCAGAAGCAGGCAATCTATTCTGGAGTTGGCGCAGCCACAGTTTGGATGCCCTGGTGAAGAAGGATGCTGCTGTTGAAGCCCGAACAGCCCAATCAGCAGCCTGGTGATTGCACTTGAGGGTCTGTTCGGAAGGTTTATCATCCGGTTTCAGGATATCTTCTGGCTCCGTGGGAGTGCCAGAAGATGAGAATGAGGCCAGAACCGGAATGTCAACAGAAGGCACTGCCAGGGCATTGTCCAGAGCTGCGCTGACATTGACCAAGGCCTTGCTGAGTAATGGTCTGAAGAAAGTAGGTTTGAAGATCAATGCAGAGGATGTCTGCTCTGGGTGAGAATCCTCTTCCTCTGAAAGATTTTGGTCAAAAATCTCACCCTCTTCACACTCTGAATGAGAGGAGTAACTGTGTTCAGATGGTGAAGCCCCTCCTTCCTCATCAACCTCCTCCCATTCTGGTAGAGAAGAATGGACCCTGGGGTCCTGAGGCCTGTGTAAATCAGGATGATGAGGCAAGAAACTTATAGATTGAGAAGGGAGAAGGGCCTGAACCCTTTCCAGAGGTTGAAGAATTTGCTTGAAGCCTTCAGTCAATCCCTGCCTAATGGCTGATGAGAGTACATCTTAGATATCCCTTGGTCTATGCTCAAAGGTAGAGGCAGAAGGCCGAAGGCCCGCTGCTGTGGGAGTGAAGGTAGCTTCAGGCCTAGATTGAGGAGAGGTTCGAGGCCTGGAGGGAGGAGGAGGAGCATAGGGCACAGAAGCCTGTTGGAAATAAGGCCCAGATCTGCTTAAATCCTGAGGATCGGACTGTACAGCAAGAGCCTCAGGAGACCAGGATGGAGGATGGAAAGGCTCATAGATAACTTCTCCTCCCCTGGGAGGGCTTGGTTTGGGGCCCACGAGTATCACCTGAAACATGCTGTAGTTGCACTCCCTTCTGTTGAATAGTTCTGTTGAACTGCCTCTCTAGAGCTGCATGTCTGCGCTTCTCTGCCCTCAATTCAGCTGGAGTTGCCTTCTTAGGGGCTAGAGCCTTAGCTTTGATTTTAGCAGCCACCTCCCTCTGGACTGATTGGGTACGTTGCCTACGTCTTTTTCTCCTATTGGGCTTAAGAGACTGTTCCACTGGGGAGAAAGCTCTGCCTGAGCCTTATCTTGCTCCATTTGTAAAATAAAGGCTCTTGCGTTGGAAAGAAGCTGTTTAGAAATTTTTCTATTAAGCCCCTTAGGGTATAAATGGCCCCCGGGCTTGCAAAATGGCTGCTCACCTCGTGGTGGAAGGCTTGAATCCAAGATGGCCACTGACTACAGGAAAACAGGCTCCAAGACTGAAGAATTGCTCCTTAGGCTATACAGAGCCCTGAGCGAAGTCAGCAAGGGAAAAACACAGCAACCAGCTACACGATCAGCTGGCTGGAGCTCTTATCAGTTTGCTGATTGTGTTTCCGATTGCTCCAAACTGCAGGCGTGGAGGAGGTCTACAGACGCTGCCCAGCTTGCCTGCACAGAGCTCTGTGATGCTGCTCTGCAGCGTTGCAGGGCTCTCCTGAAAGAGCAGCTGCTCAGATCCCTGGGAGCTGCTTGAAGAGAGGAAAAAAGTACTGAAGATCACTGGTGATTGCTATCTAACAGAACGCTTTCAGAGACACAGCTACTGACTGAAAGGAGCTGAGTCAAAAGCTGGGGTCTCTCCCGGGGGCTGGCTTTTATATCTTAGTACAGACTCAGCTATGACGTCATAGGAAGGAGTCAACCCATCCTATCCTGGGCTCTCGATATAGCATGGAGGAGAATGTTATCCAGACTTAATCAACCCACCAAAGGCATAAGTCACAAGTCACTTTGAACCCCTTGCTTAATTAAGTCTACTCCAAAGATGACTAAGTCAAGATCAAATCAGAAAAGGATACTAGAAACCTAGGGGATCCACAGGGACTACTTGGTGTAAAAGGAAATTGACCATGATGGGCAAATCATCTTTATCAACTTCCTTCCCCATTCCTTCAAAAAATCTATTAATTAATGGTTTTCTCATGCTTCTGAGGGAAAATACCTAAAAATAGCATAGGATTGCATAGGATGGATAGGACTATTATCTTTGGACAACAAACATTTGGATGATGATTTAGGTGTAGCAAACAGCATTCTAGTGGGTTATGAGAGCTTTAATACCCAGATTTAATAGCCTTAGAGGGTCTTTGGATATAAGTTGTCCTTGTCTTATAATCACTTGTTCAGCAACTGTTTGAAGTTACATGGCACTGAAAAAGTGACTTATGACTGGTTCTCACACTTATTACTGTCACAGCATCCTCAGTTTCATTATCAAAGTTCAGGTACTTGGCAATTAGCATGTATTTAGGAAAGTTACAGTATCTCAGGGTTGTGTGATTACCAGTTTTGACTTTCCCAGCCAGTTTCCAATAAGCAAAGCCAACAAAGGAAGCCAGATCCACTTAACAACTGCAGCTAATTGCTAAACAACTGTGACAAAAATGTCATAAATTTGGGTATGACTCATTTAACAAGCTCCTTGCTTAAAAATGAAAATTCAGTCTTTACATCCATTTATTGTGGCTATTTCATACCTTTTCCCTCATCAAATGAACTTATATATCTATACAATAATCATAAGGATACCACACCAATCAATTATGTTCATAGCAGGCAAAATCTTTGGGGGCATGAGATTTTAACACTAGTAGACTGCAAAAAAAAAAAGGCAAAAGCGGAGTAGAGTGTCTCTGTGATCTTGAATCATCATCAGATGGAATTTCAGCAGGTAAAGCTTGTCATTCAACTAAATGTGATTTTAATTTCTTGTCTGCAACTCTTATATTTGGTAGAGCTTGTCCTTTCTTGAATCTGGCTATCCCAGTTAATCATCATATTTTCATTAAAAAAATCATGTCAATTTCTCACAAAAAGAAAAATGACATTGACAAAGATCTTAATAATTATTGTGAACTTGTGGATGAGGTGATTGGTTCAGGGTGCTGAATTAAACTACTTTAGCATTTAGTGCCCATTTGCAGGCAGCCCGAAGCTTCTGGAGGCTAATATGTATATTTGAAACTCTGCAAACGGTACTTCAACCAAACCATAAATGTTAATATATTGGCTGTATTTCATACCTTTTAATCATCTCATTATCATATATTGTACTAGTGAACTCAAATTATATAAGGGAATGAGTCCCTTCAAGTTACCATAAATTTATTACAAGCCAGCATGCAATATTGCACTGGTTCGCTGTATGCTAGTAAGTAAACCTACTGAATGCAATAGGACCTAGCAGACATAGTACTGTTCAGTCTCATAGGGAGCCTGAATTCTAATATGATGGAGAGAGATGGGTAACAGATAAGACAGCTGTATATACTTTGATATATAAATAATTTTGAAGGGAACATCCCTATTTGAGCAAGACATTTGTTTGTTATTTTAAAAAGGGGATAGTGAAACAAAGATAGTGAAAGTGATGACCTGCCTCTCATTAGAGATTTCCCTGGAATTAGTCAATAGGTGCCTGCAACTTGTAGCTACATTCCATCTCATAATCACTATCAAGTGAGGATAGGGTATGTGCAAATCACGTTTGTTCAAGAACACAAAGAAAAAAAATCATTTTTTCCAAAAGAAAATCCATTCACGGGATTTACCATACAAATCATGCTTAAAATTATCATTTGGAAAGTTTGTTCTGACCTTGGGAATCATCTATTATCACACCCTTTTCCAAGATCTGTATAATTCCGTTGAAGAATAACTGGAGATACAATCTCCATTGCTCAATGTATGTGTGGAAGATCTTTTTTTTCCCCTCTAGCTTGTTATTTCAAAACAAATAGAGGGAGGAATCAGAGTAACTCCCTTGATCAGCCGGTTGGGCAGGACCAAATACTTCCGACCTAGAGCCTATGCTCACTGTTGGCCTGCATTCTTCTCCTAGGCTTTTTCGTAGCCTTAATGGAGGGAAAAAAACATTAATGTAGTGACTTGAAATCTTTTCTCTCCTCCCAAACATCTTAAGCTCACTCATTTCAAAATCAAACAAATCAGACTAACTGATACTACCTTGAACTTTAACTTGAATTAATAAGTCTGACTGATTGAGAACAATGTCTGTGTGCTTATTTTAATTCATTTAACAATATATTGACATGTCCCAATGCTTGAATTACCTGAAGAAGGACTGGGTAACACGGAAATGTACTCTCCCACCTTTACCTTAACTAAATCACCTTTCCCTGAAAAAAATGGCAAAAACTATGATTAAAAAGCCCTTCAACCAAAAAGCTCTCCTTCCCATATGCCTTTAATCTGAGCACTGGCATATTCACAACCAACAACTAGTTTTATATAGAAGGGGTTAAGAAATTTCCGCAGTATAGATTTATGAGATAATAAAATCCTTCCTAGTGGTCACCTGATCGCATTTCAAGCACTCAATCTGACCTGCCTCTACAGCCACTTGCAGCATCCCATGATCATTTGGCTACAATGTACACTTTTTCCAAAAAACAGTATTTATTCAAAGTTTGGGCAAAATCACCCCATGTACATCCCCAATGGGCAGGCTCCATTTTCTCTTATACATCCATTATACATTCTTTTATACCCCCAAATGCAGAATTTTATTTCTTCGGAAAAAATTAAAATTTATATGTGGGACACAGGCAGGTATACGAATGCCATTAAATCAATCAATCAATCAATCTTAACATGGATGCCATGTCATAAAAAGTTAAGCTGGCAGCTGCCATCATGTGACTATTTTTGCTTGTATCATGCATGTGAACAACATAGAAAGAGGGCAAAACTTTTAACATATGGGCACAGCCACCATCGTGCCTCTTTGACCCACCTTTGCAGGCACCCCTGACCCTCCAATTCAAAATATTGCAAAGAATCCAAGTGCCTTCTTTTCACTGTCCTCTTGTTCTTTTCTTTCCTATCTTAATAAGGAAAGTCTATGTGCAGTTGGCTCATATTCTCTAATCTCACACAGCACCTAGAGAGCCAATTGGGGATTTAAATGGAAAAATCAATGTTTTATATTTAACGCCTTCATTTCTGTTAGTCTGTAAACTCTTTCTTTGAAAATATAAAAACAATATAAAAAGGCATAAATGTAAGTAAAAATAAACTCCAAAAAAAGAAGTGCAGAGTTGGTCTGGTATTATATCAAATACATAAATAAAACTAAAAATCCAGATAAAAGAACAGCTATGAAATAAAAAATAAAATATATTTAAGAGTAAAACAAGGTATCAAGATCAGGCAGAAGAAAATAATCTTATATAGAGTTTTAGCAGGTATACTGGAAGAATCTGAAGACTCTTCCATCAAATTGATACCATATCTAAAAAGCTGTCCACTCTATTCCCAGCTGACATTGGCTTGCTGCAAGGTCTGAAATGAAATACCCTACTTATTCAACTTTGGCTGCCCTGAAACTCATTCCTCCATCACCTCCATCTCAGCCTTTAAACTTATTTTTATTCCAATTGCTTGAGAACTAGGAAGTTTCACCCATGTCCCAAATCTTCAAGGTTTGAAAGTTGCACAGCTAATGAATGTCCAAGATCTACCCAAAAATTTCCCCCTGGAATAAAAAAAAAAAGGGGCAGAATTTTTTCAAAAGGTGAGGCTTCATCACTGAAGGTGGAGATTTCAAAGCATGGCCCAGAAAGCTAATGCTGGAGTGAGCTCCATCCTGAACCAACCGGTTGCAAAGGAGGGAAACCTGTAGATGAAGCAACAGGGTGTAACACCATCCATATGCCTTGGGTACAATCAGAGGGAGGAGGCTACTGGAACGGGGGCGTGTTGCTCACTATATCTTGCATCCTCCACCCTCTTCCATGGTGTGTTTTTTTTAAAAATCAAGTGGACACTTTCTCTGCTGCCAAACAACTTGTTCAAACTTGATTCAAATGGGTGCAGTCCTCTGTCCAGTCTCCAAAGCAAAATCACAGCAACATCTGAAAGAGAATGTCAATTACAGGCCAGTTGAGAAATGGGTGTGTGTCAACCAGGAAAATCACTCGCACCCACCTGGCAGCACTCAGAGTGCATGAGCCAGGAGCTTGGAATTCAGACGCCCAGGAGCAAGGCAGAAGCCAAAGGCCTGTTACTCCATGGATCGCTCCACATGTTGCTTCTGGGATGAACCAACTTTGGCTCACTGATTCTCTATATGACATGATTTTGTTAACAAATATTGTTCTTACAAGGTTCCCCCCACCCATTTGTCCATCTGTTTTCAGCTGCAGGAAACTTGACTTTAGAGGAAAGAACAGCACAATTAATGGTTGCCTTAACACAAAGAGGAACAATTCATCCAGAGCTTCTTGAAACTTAGTTTTTGCAGCACCTTCCTCATTTATTGTCAAAATACTGCCAAATTTTAGCATCAAACTGCAAATAAGTTGTTGGAAGGTGTTAAGGAAAGCATAACAACAGACCATATAACCTTGTACGGTTGCCATGCTGCCTTAAAATGTTTTTAATACATCCCCACTTCTTGCATACCTATGAAAATTACCCAAGGTTGTTTATGTATAAGCATTAGGAATAACTTCATGTATAATTTGAAATTATTTAGGAATTGAATACTTCTTGCTAGCCTGCCTGCCTTCCTTCCTTCCTTCCTTCCTTCCTTCCTTCCTTCCTTCCTTCCTTCCTTTCCTTCCAGCCAGCCAGCCAGCCACTTTTTCTGTTAGTTTGCCTGGTTACTTCAGTTTCAATTTCTCAAAGCAGTGTTCAATATTTTTTTAAAAAAACACATAAAATAATACTATTAAAATCATGATTAAAATAATTAAAACAATTAATTAAAAATAAAAACGCTTAGCAACAGAGATAGTGTTACTATCTTCTTATATCAGAGGTCTCAAAATTCGGCAACTTTAAGATTTGTGGACTTCAACTCCCAGAATTCTGGGAATTAAAGTCCACAAGTCTTAAAGTTGCCAAGTTTGGGGACCCCTGTCTTGTAGAGGTTCTGGTGGTGCCGGCACCTTTAGAATGGCATTTCCTACTAACGCAAGGAGGTGGGCAGATTCAGGGGTGGGATGCTACCGGTTCGGCCTGGTTCTTTAGAACCTGTAACTGCAAACAGCAGCTGACATCGAACCGGTTCTGTGTTTGGCCCACCTGCATGCCCGGGCTCTAGGCTGTCCTTTATTCCCTGCTATTCCCTACTCAGCTGCTTTGCGCTGCACAGCTGAGGCTGAAAAAGAAGGAAACAAAGATTTTCAAATGCTGCACAAAGGAGCGAAGTGCTTGTCAGCTGTTCAGGCAACACAGCTGATGATTACTTGCAAACGCTGCACACACGATTTTCCCCAGTTCAGAGAACCGGCAAATCACTTCACTGACTGGCCCCACTCGCCCCGCCCACTCACTCCTTACTTGGCATGCGAGCTACCCAACTTGCCTGATTTGGTAAGTTGCTATTTTTCCTCCCCCCAACCCCACCACTAGCTGTTCTGCTCTGCCAGGAGATTTAGATTAGCTAGAAAGCAGGAAATCCTTGGCTTTCTTGCTTTCTAGCTAATCTAAAAGCAGAGCCAAACCTTCCTTAGGCCTGAAGCTTTTCAGTCCAGACTCAAGTAGCAGATTGCAGATAGATTGATCTCTAAATTAATCTGTGATTCTGTGAGCAACTCAATCTGCCTGCCTGTTTTGGGGTAAAAGTTGCTCTTTTTTATAAAAAAATCAATATTTATATACATGGTGTGTTCTGAGTTAATCGTATAAGTTTGCTTGCTAGCAAATTTTATGTGACAGACTTAGATAGCCAATTGCAGATAGATAGATCTCTAAGTGAATCTGTGATTCTGTGAGCAACTCAATCTGCCTGCCTGCTTTGCCTGCTTTTGGGTAAAAGTTGCTCTTTTTTATTAAAAAAATCAATATTTACATCAATCTTTATAATATTTACATACAAACCACGCTTACCCAGTCACATGACCACCAAGCCACACCCACAAATTAGGCCACACCCACAGAACCAGTTGCTAAGAAATTTGAATCCCACCCCTGGGCAGATTTATGGGGGAATATAGGCAGTCGAACCTATGATCAATAAGGAAAGTGTGTTTTGGAATATTAGCATGATTAATGAATCCATTTTATAATATATTAAAATATGCCATGACTTAACTATTTTTCTGTCTATGTAGAAAATTTGAATTTTATTCATCAAAATTATTGTAGAAATATTCCATCATTCTCTAATAAAACATTTTGTTTCCAGGAGAGAAGGGAAATTGGAAAAGGCTATAAATGGAATATGCTGATTTCTAGACACTGCATCAGTCTATGGTGAGGAAGAGAATTGCCCAATAAAATATTTGTTTGGGAACTTCTGTATAATACAGAGCGTCCTTTATATTGAGATACTTCCAAATAAGGTTTATTATTGAGTAATCATTCTTTCCTTCCTTTCCATTCACATATCCTGTCTATGGAGTTATACAATTTGATTAATGGCTTAGCCTGTTGTATGAATCAGGGCATTGTAGTTTATTAAACCATGATTTTTTTATGTTTTCACAGCTGTTTTCATTTCATTTCATCAATTTCATTAATTTTGTAATTACTGTCTGTCATTAGGTGGACTGTGATGCTGATTTGTAATTTTGACTCCAAACAAATGGCATGCAAACATTTCAGAATCAATCTACAGTAGAGTTCCCCAACCTTTCTGCCTTTGCAGACCAGGCAGTGGGGGAGGGGAAGAGGGGATGGTTTTGTGCAAGCTTGTGAACATGCTTGTACTCTGTTCACATAAATGGAGCCCATGTACAAGGTGTTTATCCATAGTTCACTGAGTGGGGCTGCATACACATATGCATGCCACTTCTGCAGCCCAGTTCCAAAAGGTTCAAGGGCTGGCCATGGGTGACAGCCCTAAGGTTGGGGACCCTGGAAAGGCATCCCATTTAAAATGTGCCAATCCAACTTACGCAATGTCTGCAGCATCTGTAAGCCCCTGAAATTCCCAGTGTGGTCTTTAGATGTTCTAATTAGGGGCAGCAGTACAATCTGCAAAATAGGTGGAATTTGGGAAAATCTGGCAAGCAGCTGATTTTCATTTGGATCTAGTCTGACATTGAAATCCCTTGCAATGACAATATGGGCAGTGGGAATGTATATATAACTCAAGACCATTGATATAATGTTCCACATTTCCCCAAATTTCCACAATACATGGTTGAGAGATGTTGGGAGATACATATATATATATAGAAATTAACGAGAAGTAATTTCTCAACAGCTTTTCTGCAAATCTCTCAAATGAGTCTAAGATAACACAATCTCAGTGTTGAGATATGAATGCTCAGATCAGCAAGAAGTTCCCTCCTCTGGTGCCAGGAACTGCTGAGATGGATCGTGATTTATATCCCTCAAAAAAGAGAACATTCATTAACCACGCCTCTTGGAACATAAGGATGTTGAATTGGCATACATAGCTTATCAAAGCAAGGTCTCTGTTTCTGGCTTCCCTTCCAGCATTGTTCCAAGACGGCAAGGATAGTGATTCTGGGGCAGAACCTCCTTGTTTGATATCATAGTGGGTGACTGGGGATGTACTGAGGTCTAGGAATGAATGACATGGTTCGTGCAGTCAGTATGTAGGAAGACACATTGTTTGTAATTTGGTATGATTTTGCCATTCTCATGATGCTGCATAGAGTCAGATAAATTTGTGATAGTTTGCACTTGGTCACCATTAGCAAATTGTTGTTTCATGTCAGTATAATTCATTGGAGTGGTTAGTTTTGCCCCAGTGATGTTCTTTCTCCTGCCTCAGGGGCTGCCCAGGGGTGGGATGCTACCAGTTCTGCCTGGCTCTATAGAACCAGTAGCTCTGAAGAGCAGCAGACACAGAAATGGTTCTGTGAAAAAGCAGTAAAAAAGTGTCTTGAACGCTGCACACCTGCATGCAGCACTTATCAGCTGTCCAGGTAGCACAACTTTAGGTGTATTACACGTGCACGCAAACATAATCACCAAACCAGTAGTAACACCGGTTGAATCCCACCGCTGGGGCTGCCATTGTCATGATTTCATGTGGTTCTTGGGGCAAAAGTTTGCCTGGAAGACTAGGGCTTGTGGCAGTTATTCAATATTTTAAAGTGCAAATACCCATGTCATGTTCTTGGTGCAGCCACCATCTGACTCAGGTTGTGGTTCCCAGGGTTTTAGGCAATCAAATCCTTCCTGTTAACTGGCAGCAGCATCCAACTTTTTATTCTTCAAAGTTTCTAGATGTTGTACTACTTCAGGAGGGGGTAGGGTAGACGGATTTGAACCTGCTGTGTTGACATCTGCCTATCTAGATTCCATAGGACAGAGGAACACCATTCCAACAAGTCTTCTCTCAGAGTGATGGTAACTGTCTTGAGTAGTTGGCAAAACCAGATAAATAAAAGGTCTGGCTACTTTGTGTGTTTCCACTGGAGTTTCTCTCAAACCATCCAGACTTTTAATATTAGCTTGTTCTGAATTTGGCAGGGCACTAACAAAGTCAGTTTTTTTTTTAGAAGGTCATCTGTGGGATAGAGGTGGGTGTGTTATCTCTCAAGGACAGAATTGATAAAGTGTCTTGGAGTGGTTCACATTTATTCTTTAAAGTGGCAATACTCTCTTGACAAGATTGGCTAAGGAATGGGCTAAGTTTTTTTGAGCAGAAAACATGTTTTAAAAGATTGGAAATGAAGTAGAAAATGACTTATTTAACATATTATGAATTGTAAATAAAATTTGTTCTCAGTTTCTGCTAGATGGAAGCCATGCAGTCTGCATCAATCAGCTGCTTCTCAGCATTGTAAAAACTGGCTTTACGATAAAATAATTGGGGGGGGGGGAGGATTGTTCACATCAGCCTCTATTTACTCTATTATTTAATATTTGTAAGATTATTTGTTTAAACTATAGATAGTACTTACAATTTAAATGTCTCTCTCCCTTAGTTACTTGCCCACTGGAGATTTATTTCTCACCCTTTCACAGGGGAGTGGACAACTCTCTTGGATTGTCATTCTTTCTTTTCCTAGGTGTAAAGCATGGGTCTTCAAACTTGGCAAGTTTAAGACTTGTGGACTTCAACTCCCAGAATTCCTGAGCTAACATGACTGGAGGAGGAATTCTGGGAGTTGAAGTCCACAAGTCTTAAAAGCTGTCCAGTTTGAAGACCCCTGGTGTAAAGGTAAAGTTACCCATGGCTTTCCTACTGGCTGCTTTTGTGGCAAACTTTATATAGAAGATCTGTATTTTAGCAGGGTTATTATTTGGCTGGTTCTCAATATTTAAGGAGTGCACTTTAATCTTAACTATGGACAACAAGTTAAAGATAGAACTGGTGTGTGCTGTCAACAGAGTTTGCCTAATTAGAAAGTCAGTTACATTTTCATTCTTTATCAGGTTAGTATTCATACCCTCGTCTATGTTAACTGTGCAGCTGCAGAGCAGATTGCGTCAGTGTGGAGGGGGGAGGAAAAGTTCTTTTCCACTGAACAGATCTATAATCTCTTGACTTTCAATCTCTGCTTGTAAATCTATTCTAAAGTATCACATCCAACAGAGGAATTTGAGGGAATAGGAATACTTACAGGAGTTGGCTGTTAGGTAGCTTATTAGGTAGATGTTGACTTTATGGAATTGGATCTACCTGCAATCCAGAATGTGTACCATGTCACCTCCTTCTTTTTCCTATGATAATTACATGTCCTAGGAATTTTTCAGCTCTTTCTAAATTTTGAAATTTCCAATAACGCAGCAGAAAATGTATTTGAAACAATTGTCAAAAAAAAATATCCAAATAATTGTTTTCAATACAATACAGGGAAATAAACTGTTTCAGTCCCATTTTATAGATTTCAAGCTCAAAAACATTGTTTATCAGTCAACACTTCCAAAATGATTAAAGCAGTACATATCAAATGTAAAACAGATGACGTAGTTGTTTCCTATTCAAAACG